GAGCGATTTCGGCGTTGTCCATGTCGGCTTCTGTCGCGTTCGCTCCTACTGTCACGTTCATCTCGTTCCTTGTCCTTATTACGATCCTTCCCCCGCACGTCGCCTCGGTCCTTCTCCCAGTCACCATCACGAATGGAGCGTCTGCGCTCTTCGTCGCTTTCACTTTCCTCACACGAACATTCACCACCGCTGCAGGAGCAAGAGCAACTGGAAAAGAAAGGCCGAAAAACTAATCCTTGGATTCCCGATCTTATCAAACAGGCGTATGTAGCTAAGATCGTCCGAGCTACTGGATTCCTTTGAACACTATTTTTTATGAAGTTTTTATAAAAAATCAAGCTCCTTCTAGAAAAAGAAAAATTCTTCCATGCTCTCCTCATAAAACTGTAATTCCCCAGAGCTCTCGCAATGAAACTATGATTCTCCCAGGCCTCTATAAAACATAACCAACCTGGACTCATTTTGAATTATTCCCCTTGTTCTTCATTTCACTCAAAAAATTTTGCTCAAAAAACCCGCACATTTCTTAATGTTGGGTAAAAAAGAATTAAAAATTTACTCGGATGAGCATTTCGAGCCACTTCTTCGCGGGATCTCCGCTGCTGCTGCTGCTGTTGCTACTGCTGTCACTGATGCCTGCTGAGCTGCTGCTGCCGCTGCTGCTGCTGCTTTGCGTGCGGCTATTTTGGCTTTCAAATTTTCCACTTCAAATTCATCAGCGCTCAGATCGTATTTATTCAGGTCGGCATCACTTTCATCCTCATCATCGTCCGCCTAAAAAATGCTTCGGATGTGAAGTACAGAAATTTAAGTTAGGCAAATACGAAGAACCGCCAAAAACATTCGAACTATCAGTGACGAAATTGTGACACTAGTAAGATGAAAAAGAACTATCGAACTATCGGTGAGAGGGTCTCAATAATAGCATAAACAAAGAGAGAAATGTCGATGCGAAGCGCTCGGTACTGCTAAAATGAAGCCGAATTCTACTGGCACGCAAGCTTGTTGTTATCAAGATTAACCACAAATTAATAATACGAAATCTTGAACGCGACTGAGATAAACGAGGACTACCTAGAGGAAGAGAGAGTTTAAGAAAGGCTGTGGTTTTCGGAATGATACAGGAAGAGAAGCTGAATTACTGAGGCGGAGTGCCCAAATGTCCAGAGGAGGAAGCCCAGACAGAATACACCCTCCACATTTCACTAAGAAACGTAAAAGCATTCCATACATTATTACTAACTGGCCGCTGAAAGGGTCATCGGTAGCCCCTTCTTCCAAGAATTAGCGGCAGTTTTACTCCGTGCATGAAAACGAAACGGGTTTTCGAGCTAGAAAAATCAATTAGTAGCCAATTAGCACCCAAGAATCCATCATGACTATGAATCCTTTTCATCGTTGTGCTATAGATTCTTTAGGCCATACTTTAATGTAGATGCATTCCAAAAGTGCCTGGTCAATGTCACTTTTTTTAGAAAGCACGAACAATTCACTACTGAAAGGAATAAACGAGCTGTAAACAGCTAGCTTACCTAAGCACATCCTCAACTTCTGCTATGACAGCAGGGCAACTTTCCACTGAATCAAACCTGCCGACATAAAAATCGCATATTAATTTCAACTTTGATGTCAGCAACAAAATTTAAGGACCAACTCGTCGCTTCCAAGGGTAATCTCAAAAATATCTGCAGTCTCTTGCTCCTAAATAACTCAAGCGCAATGATCTTCTCAAGTCCATGAGTAAAAATCGCTGATTAGAAGTTGCAGAACTGGTAAACTGGACGAACACGCGAAAGGGCATTTTTCTTTGGAAAAATGAAGAAAGGATGGGATCGAAAAGCAGACTGACAAGAGCTGATGCAACTTCGGTCAGAG